TAGTGTAGACAAACAACAAATATTCGTTAATAACTGACCTTGGATGTGTTGTTTGTAGAAACAATCAAATGATAATGATAAAACTGAACAGAAACACACAGCACACCTCACTCCACCACAGCCAGCGACGTAATGACGACGCCACCCGTGACCCGCAACGAAGTTCCTTGCAAGCTGCGCTGGCAAGGAGGCAGAGCGTCACTCGCACTCAAAGAAATGAGTGACATTTTTTCCGAATAACGATGCAGTTTTTGACTATGAGTTAGTTATCCTGATTCAGTTTGGGCCGAAAGAAAGACGTATCAGTTATATGTTTGCTCGCTTCTCGTGCTATGGCTGAGTGTTTCTCTATTTGGAAAGTATTATCCATACGTTTTTCTGAGTGCACCTAGCAACTTTCAGGCACGCCTAGTTCCCTGCAGCCCACTCATGTCTATAGAAATATTCAAACTGTTGGATGTAGTCGCGGTAGTTATTACGTTTGTTTTACAGTCCACCTCAATTTCATGAGGTTAGAAAATTAGATTCACTTTGCTGTACAGTGTACACGTGTACAGTGGTGGTGGTCATATTCACTGCAACTAGTAAACATGAAGCATTCAAATATTTTGAAACTATTATATTTGGTTTTATATAAATGTTGATTTCAAAGAATCTTGAGGTGCACAATTGTCGAAATCTAGTAAATGACTGAGCACTGTCGTCATTCCGTCCTTGCATGCCGGTAATCATTGTAGTTGACGAACGTTTTCCGAACAGATTATTTCTATCGAATGAAAATATTTGACGAATTGATTATGGACTGCAATTCTGCAAGGCTTGCTTTTTTTTCTTATTTATTTGACATATAATATTAGAATAACTACCCTGCCTATAATATTTCAATAGCTGAAAGTCGGATACCTCAGAATAGATTATGTATTAATTCTTTGATTCAATATTGATATTCACTGTGCATTGTAGGTTTTTCTAAATTTCAACAGCAATTTTTTTATGTAAAAAAGGCGGATTATTTACAAACGTCCGCCTTTCGAGATCCGCTACTATAGCAACCGCTTCTTCTGAATTTCTGTAATCTGAATGCTGACCAAAAGTGGCCAATCTATCTCAGTGTTGCCAGATGGGCCTTTTTCAGGCCAAATTTCGCAAATGTGGCCTTTTTTGAAATGCCTTGGCCTGAAAATTTTCATATGGCCTTTTTGTCCGTTTTGGGCCTTTTTCTATGAAAAATGTAACTCTCGTTTTTTTTTATAATAATTTGGTCCTTCAATTTTAACCAAGACGAGTGCACCCAAATTCAGTTTTGCCTAAGACGAGTACACTCAAATTTTGACACGAAACTGTGTCAACACTTCGGTTTAGGTGGCAACACTAGCGAGTGCCGCCTAATCTGGGCAACACTTTGGTTGAACCATGGGACTATATCCAATTGCCGACTCGTATTAATTAAGAACCATGGACGGCAGAGCTGACAGAGCGTATAATCGAGTATAGTTTTCACTTCTAAAGAGNTTCTTTTAGCACTTCCAGTCATCCAGCAGCAGCAGCAAGCAGTCTGTAGTGGGTACTGACTTCAGTACCTGTCTCTTATACACATCTAGATGTGTATAAGAGACAGGCTCTATGTACATGCCATGTTCATACTGGAGAGATATTTTCTCCCCACTCAACAGTGAACTCATAAAATTTTGTGCTGCTCCCAGTAAGTTACTAACTGTACTACTGTAATAAGTACTAAGTATTCCCTAATCCCTACTATCAGTACTATGAGACTGTGAGTACTGTACAGTTGCAGTCTACTTGCTAACAGTAACTGAGTAACACTCAGCCATGTAACAGGCATGGAATATATCTACCTGGCAAGCTGCGACTATATTTTTCGAGCAGTGGCTTCATGGGTTTGCCAGCCATGATTCCCATTCTTCGAGGCTGAGGCTTCGAGCCATGGCTTCATAGATTTGCCAGCTGTGATTCCATTTCTTCAAGCCCTGAATTCCATATCTCAGATGTGAAAAGCCATTTACAACCCACGAACTTGTTATTTACAAAGTCCCATGCACAATTATTGCACATGTTACCTACCTTACATCTCTAATTTTACCCTAATTACCCTAAAAACAGTACTACCTAGCATTTGTCTTCACTTATGTGGCAACTGAGCAATTGATAATGCAGTCTGACCAGTGATCACCCTGACCACAAATATGCAATCTTCAAGGAGGAAACGTTTTGAGTTGACTTGTTATTATGTTCTGCATGTTATTTTAGTGGAAGGTGGGAGCATTGAAGTATATATACTGCAGAGTGCAGATGCAGAAATTGAAAATTTTATGAAATGACATGTTTTCAAAGTTCAAACCACAATTTTTTCAATCAAACAAAAATTTATGACATTAGAGCCATGAGATTTCATACCTACTGATATAATATTAGAGCTGGGATATTTCAGAAAAAATAGGACTTTTCCAGCCCTGCTCACTACTCAGTACTCACTAGGACTCCTTTGCAAATCTCCTGCTATTTAGCACTGTGACAGCAGCAAAGCTAAGAAACATTAGGGTTCCTAGCTATTAAAATGATTTTAAATCAGCTATCAGCAAGATGAATTTGAATTTTGAGCATACAACAAAAATTGTCATATGTTCTTCAACAGGAATTCCATTGATTTTCTCATTATCTCATGCATAGAAGGAATTTAGAAACTTTTCTCGGAAGTTTTCTAAAATAGCAGGTAGAAATGATTGGTTTATAGGAGATTTTAGAAAATTGTGGGCATAAATTGGCAGTTTTTCTTATTTTATCTGAATAAATTGGGTAAAAGCTGTATGAATGGGTGAAATTGGCCAGATTCACAAGCATTTTTGTCAAATTTACTGGTGGGCAGTGGCTTATGCTTTTGCATAATTTTCTAGTTAGGCTTCTCAGCTCCTGTTATTAATTAAACAGGTGTAGAGCTATATGCTGCTAAACATGCATGGGATGTTCATAGAATTAAAATTAATTTTCCATTTGTTTATATCCTTTTATTTAAATTATCTAAAAATAAAGTAAAAAATTTTCAAAATATGAACATTGTACCTATGTAAAAAGATGAGTGGTTACAAAACATTGCTAGGATCTAATAGATGTAATATTTTAGTAGAAAACATCTAGCTTCAGTCTCTTGTTCCCAACAATGACTTTCAATTTTGGTTATAATTTTGATCCTGTGAAAATGATTCTAGCTGGAGTATGTATGAGTATTATAGTCAACCCAAGGTAGAATGCATATCATAAAAATCAGTTTTAACCTCTAAATGTATACCAATGCTATTCAAAACCTTTGTCTCACTTATGCCACTGTAAAATCTGATGAAAGTGCTCTTTTGGAACAAATTAATCCTCACATTTTATTGACTACCAAAAGCAAGTTTAATTAGAAACAACTAGATACTTTTTGTGTGCGCTTATAAATTACTAAAATTGCAATATAATTCACTACATCCACTTTTACATCAATGCCCTAATAAAATCCATTATAAATGCATGTAAAATTTTCTGCTTAATTTCAAATAACATTTGTCAAATCTCTTTATTCTCCATGTAAAAATTAAATCAATGGACTATGTATTGGTTATTTACAATCCTTTCTATTAGATTTTCACAACAACCAGGCCACACCTGATCCTCAAAAATGATGTGAAAGGTTTAGCTAATGGAAGATGGAGATGCCTTTACTCCTGCTGCTAAATCATCAACAACAATGTTTTGAACAAGATGAGACTTTTATACAAGCCATAATTCTGCTGCTAAATTGGGTTTAAAGACTGGGCTGAAAAGTGTAGTTTCAAGACGAGTGAGAGATCAACGTATATAGTTCGAGGGATGATGATGATGGTTTCAATACAGTGATACCCTAGAAGTAGAAGTTGATCCATTCCAAGAAGAGCTTTGACTACTAAAACAGTTTACTTTCTTATCAAATTGCCTGATTGCACACAAAAGCACATGAAATACTCAAAAACAGCATTCATAGGAAGATATCTGAGTTTGAAGTAGTTTTTCTCTAAGAATTTGGGCTTGAGCTTGTAATTTATTATGATGCAGAAAAAATTCTCCAATATCAAGTAGGCAATGCAGCTGTCAGTTGGCTCAATTCGAATGGTTTATGTATCTGGAACGTGTTCATTTTAGCCAACTAATATCACTCCCATTTTCCACCAATGCAAATGCTCCTAACATTTTCCTTCTTACCTATTGAAGACCATTTGAACCAATGAAATTACGACCTCACTTGAAATTTTGAGTTATTTAGGACTTCAGTAGTGTAGTGGTAACTCCAGTTTGTTCTGCTAGCACTCAAAAGATGTTTAATCATTATGGTCTTATATAAATCTGCAAGTATTTCTACGACCTGCGTCTATGCTTGAAAACGTTGTGTAGAAAAGTTAGAGTCTATTTGAAAACTTTAATCTGTAAAAAATCTTACCTACGAGTATTTAATGATCACATGACTGTAGTGAGGCCGTGGCAACTCCAAAAAGACTAACCATGCAGTGATCCGACGAACTCTTGCTTATAAAGCCGTTTCAGTCAACCCGTTCAGTGTGACAGTCAAGCCGTTTCTCAGTGCACTTGTCACATTCTCTAGCAATATAGCTCGGAAATTATAGTTGAACGTTGTTTTTCTTCGCCCCCTAGGTTCTTTTGAACAAAGGTTACCTTCAATTTGTTCATGTTTGTTGTCTCCCTTCTCAGCTATTAAATGCCATGCTTGTAATGAATATAGCGGCGTGTGCCCCGTCCATGCTCCCAAGCTTGTACGTTGTTCAGCGCTGATGGTCGTCGTCATTACCTCTTGTCATTTGTTCGATGTCCAGCATTGATGAGCGCCGTAATCACCTCTTGTCGTTTGTTTGATGTCCCGCGTAGATGGTCTCCGTAATTACCTCTTGTCATACGTTCGATGTCCAGCATTGATGAGCGCCGTAATCACTTCTTGTCATTTGTTTGATGTCCCGCGTAGATGGTCTCCGTCTCCGATGGTCTCTCTCTTGTCATACGTTCGATGTCCAGCATTCCTGGGCGCCGTAATCACCTCATGTCATTTGTTTGATGTCTCGCGTTGATGGTCTCCGAAATTACCTCTTGTCATTCGTTCGACGTATATAGCATTGATAGTCGCCGTAATTACCTCTTGTCAATTGTTTGATATCCTGTGTTGATATCCGTAATTACTTTTTGTTATACGTTCGATGTCCAGCATTGGTGTTCGCAGTAATTACCTCTTGACATGTGTTCGATGTACAAAAAACGAATGTACGCAGAAGGGAATGAAGTCAAGCGCCTTAGATGATGTTTCCGCCACCACCGCCACTGGATTCCAACTGTCATACAAAAAATAATCGATTGTGAGATACTAAAAAATATCCTAGCTTGGTTTTTTATTTTTGTTAAAATTATGCCTCGGACTTATGAAATGATGCCTCATGTTTAAAAAAACTTATCAAAATCAATGATGAGTGTAAGTCGTATAGAAATTGCACGACATCCGGAAGGCAATAGACAATGTAATGTAAACTCACCTGTACGGCGTAGGAGCGCACTACGACGATGAGGTACGATGAAATAGCCGTCCCGATGAGAACAACAACGAGGGAGATCCAATGCTCGCCGAGCACAAACAACACCACTGAACCGATTATTGCAAGGATGACCAATACGATCTCCACGTAGACCCAAATCTTGATGAGCGTCACTCGTTCCTGCAATTCAGAATTATGAGGTACGTTTAAAGTCTAGAACTTTGACTGGGTTATTGTGTTAACCCCATAGGTAACTCACGTCAACTCCTTTGCGTACAGATTGTAACTCTTGGCATCAGCTTGTGAGGAACGAATATCAATAAATATTGTTTTACCGCCAGTAGAAAAAATGTCCAAATATGGGCTTCATAATTCAAGTCCATCGAGGTGTTCTGTCCTCTAAATTTTAGTTGTTAAAAATATTGGAATTTTATTCATGATTTCAATTGAATATCATAAACTGAAATTTTATCCATGAATACTGGTATAAATTTTTATTCTGGCACCTGTCATTGGACGTCCTATAACATTATTTTTTGTTGCTACATAATTGAAATTTAGTTCACATTTCAAAACGTTATTTATATATTGATAGGAAATCAGAGTTAGAAGGAAAAAAATTTTTTTTTTAATTGACCGTACCTCAAGTTGCAAATTTTATTGATTACAAGAAAGGGATTCTCAAACCTCGGGTATTATCCATCTCAAAAACACCTGTTAAGCTGGAAAAAGTTCTATAACGTTCTTGTACTTGCCTTTTTAACCCCAATTATAAGTGTGATGGCGAGCAAAACTCGAATATTTACTTTAATTTAGTAAATATCAATTTTGTGAGGAAATCAAGAATCTATCGTATTTTTAAACGAGAGTTAAATGGTATGTAAAAAGTGGATGTCAACGATGCTTGTTGACATGGGAGTTCAGCCTTATGGGATTTTTAAATCTGCTAGAAAATCAATCTCTGAATCAATCAATCTCTGGCTCGTGCTGATTGTTCATTATATTTGACAATTATTCAACGCGTTGAACTGTACTGGTTTGTAATAAATGCTTGATTAGTAAGTAAATATTTTGAAGGGTTTTCTTTCGAGTAGATATTGATCTTCGGTCGGTGTTTCAAAAAGTTTTTTTTTTACAAGTTCCAAGCACAGTTCTTTTAGAAAAGCATTCATTGTGTGCATGTATTATTTTTATTATTGCAATTTAGAAATCTCATAAATTTTTTTGTAGATTTGCTCTCTGTGAAATTTGATTGACGAAAATTAAACCAATCAGATTGGTCATTCGGGTATGAAAAACGTAAGGGGTGCGTGATTCGAATATAGATAATTGAATTATTATCTCATTTACTCACTTGTAGTGATCAACCCATAGATGGCGGAGAGTAGGGCAAGGAGGCCTGTCACCTGTGCACACAAACCATTGAGATATGTTAAGATGGCACATTTACATACAGTCTTAAAAGGAATATTTCTTGCAGTATTATGCCTTGAATGTATTGTAAGACCAATGAGTAATGATTACAGTAGATTTCAAAACTTAGTTACGTATTTGGTCATCTTTAATCTGAAATAAGCTTAATCAATTTACGGCGTCTCGCCTCATGAGTATTTATGTCGAATAAGAACAACTGTCTAGTCGAGGAAAATCTATGCAAACTAATTGTTTTTATGAGTCAAATTACATTTTTCTCTTGCGGAAATATCGACCGTGCCAAGAATTTTATTGCCCAACTTTAGAAATAAATTTGTTGAACAGTAAAACGTGAGATAGAAAATTCAATTGCAGGTAATTGCTTACCAAACAGAAGATGCCAGTTCCCAAGGCTCCCGAGCGCAGCGAACAACCGCAGCAGCACTGCGAGACCAAGCACTTCTCTGCCATCTGCGAAAAAGAATGAGCGTTTGTACCATTATAATTGAATCTAAGCATAATAAATTCCAATACATAAAATATTGTGATATAATAATTCAATATCAATAATGTATAATACATCTATTTTAGTGAATCCGAAACTTAATGAGTCATCGTCGGCAGACCGCATACAGTAGCGGTTTTGGTTCGAAAGAAACCTCCAAGTGAACCTACAACGCCACGATCATCCATTTCAAATTTAGTGTTCAACGAAACCTTCCTTTCAATGAAGGAAGGCACTTATCCTTATATTACCGTAGGCACGAATTAGGTCTTATTCACCGAAGTAGACATGTGACGCTAGCGTGTAGGCGCGTTATTGAGGTTAATCAATAGCATGGCCGTACTAGCGGCGCCACAGTGATGCCGAATTGTCAGGCCTCTTTCCGTCCAAATTTGCCGACTTTGGTCTTTTTTCGGCCAAATTGGCCGTTTGGGACCTTTTTCGATTGATTTTGCAGGTTAATTTTAAAAATTTATATATTTTTTTATTTAAAATTGTTTCGAAGTTTAAATAACTGAAAAATTAAATCTCAATCGCGGTAATTACAAATTTACGAGTAGATATTAGTGCCGTTTTTTGGCCTTTTATTGAGCTGATTAGGGTCTGTTGTCTTGCCACCACATGGCAACCCTGAGCTCAACCAGCTAAATGGTGCGCAAGGCACAGCTCACGAGAGGCCAAAACCGGCCGCACCAGTAGCATCTTGAACGAAGCTTTATGCAGAGAAGGTCACATTCGCGAGTGATATTACATGACTGCTCTGCCATCTTCCTTAGCACCAAGCTCCTACTCTTTCCTTAGCGTAAAATATATGGCGAATATCCTGAGATTTTTATAGAGGCCTTAGGTATGAGTCAACTTCTTTACCCTTCTCGACGTCGAATTTTTTGCCGTGGGACGTTGCGTAGCTGACTTCTAGGATTCGTAGATTTTACAAAGATTCTTGAGAGAAGCCAAGAATCATAGCACATACCGTAATACAAGTTCGTGTGCCTGCTTACGGCTTCTGTAAAATACTGTTTTGACAACAAGATTCTAGAGATGGAGAAGAGGATATTCTTCTTTTCTAATGTTATAAATTTTTACGTTGCCATGCACCTGCTGAGACATATTTTATTAGTAGATGGTCGAACGAAACAAATTTTCATAAATAATATGAATTATATTAGATACAGAATAAAGCTTAGATGGTAAGCGCTCTCAGAAATACCCTCTGACATTGACCGAGTCGGAGTTAACCTGCAATCAATTAACCCGTGATGTAATGTCGGGCTTGTAATCAATGGTGGGAAGCGACAGCCTCGATGATTTGTGAAACAAATAAATATTTGCCAAACAAACAGAGGCATGGTATTAATTCGATGATTTGTGGAACAAATAAATATTTGCCAAACAAACTGAGGCGTGATATTAATTATTAGATTCTAAGAATCTCTAAATAAATAAATTCTGATTCAAATCGGCAAGAATGTCGGGTTGTTAGGAATCGAGTGCAAGACAATGTGGCTTGATCAAAGCTTTGTTATTGTTATTAGAATCGAGCGCTGCCCACTCTAAACGACTCTTCTTCACAAGAGCTGAGTTTTCAAGCAATAAATTTAATCCTTCCTGGACACTGACAGACCTAATCAAAGATTCCATTAAAAAGATACCCTGAGCTCAAAGTGCAAGTGAATAAGTGAGATTTTGGCAATTAATATTATCACAAACCCGTTAATTTTGTTCATGTTTCTTCTATAAAGCTATGACTTTGGATCGTCTTCTCTATGAATCGACAATGAATAACGGCAAATGCTCTCATCGTGTGCGGGAAATGCTATATCCTCTAAAATGGTGCCCAGGTCGACAAATCGAGCTTCTCCTCGTGCATTGTTGCATAAGTAACTGTAAACGTTCAAATGGGACTTGCTACACTTTTCCGCAATTCGAGTGTACATATTTGAAACGTTAATGTAATACATTTACTTATAGGAGAACCGGAAACCGCTTTCGGGAGTTTCTACGGAAACCACAATCGGGGCTTTTACAACGCTCGGAGTAATATATGACTTCTTGGCTTATCTGCACACAAATGACCTTATGACTCGCACTATAGCGCGGATCACAAATTTCCACATGAACAGAGCGAACTATCGACTGAACTCATGCCCGCCTGAGGTTGATCGTACAGACAACCCATGTGTCCTTTGTGCATGCGAATCACTGAAAGCCTGTATGATATCTTCGCGATCTAAAATGTTAATAAATTAGTTCATTATTATTTTTAATTAAATGATTTACGACCAAAAAGCACAGTTGATTTAATTAACTGGCATTGCACGTGAGGTGTAAATCACTAATGGTCGGCATGAAAACCTTGCAATTTAAAGAAATACGCTAATAATTGATTATATAATTGTATCGAACAAGATTAAATAATTGAGCTAATCGAACAGGAATGAAAAGCGAAGCATCAGGCAACAGAGCCTTCATTCAGCGTGCTCGGCAATTAAGCCTGTTTTTTATGATATAAAATAAAAATAACCTCTTCGTCAAGTATGAATTCTCAGAACTTCGTCGCAAGTTTAAATTCTTAGAACTACGTCGTAAATCTGATTTCTCAAAACTATGTCGTAAGTCTGAATTCCAAGCTCTATGTCGTAAGTCTAAAGTCTAGGTTTAGAGGTCCGTAATTGCAAGCGAGCTTCGTAGCACAAAAGGTCACAAGTTAGGTTTCTCTTCATCCACTCAGATCATAGCTGATTGTGGTGAAATAGAAAATTAATTCATAATTTTGACATGTATCATTTAAAACTGCAATAATATTTCTGTTTATAGTGATGCAAAGACAAAACTCCGGGAAATTCTCCTAGTGATCCTCCGTCGTTGGCTCCTGATGCTCAACTCTTCACAATGCCAACCCTGTGTTGGCTTCAGGGCCCTCGCTAGGCTCGCTTCATTAATTGAGAACGAGCTCACAGAGTTTAGGTACACTCGGAGAAATTAATGGGTTACTTTGTACAAATGGTGACCCACTTTCTCACCCACAGTACGAACGGACGTAGCTCTGATACGCCCTTTTGCCTAGCCAAACTGGGTCGTGATAAACCAAGCAATGGTAAAAAGTTCTTCGCTATTTGGACAAGTCAGTACTCCGAGTGTATTCTTTCTTGGCCTGTATCAATATGTTTTCTTTTGGTGCTCATGTGCGGTAGCTTGTACATAGATTTTGCAAAAAAAAAAACGCATTTTTTTCGAAAATCATCTTGTGAACATATTAATTATAATTTATAATCATTCAGACTGCCTAATGTGTTAGGTATAGAATACAATACACTATTTCAGGCCAATCTTGTAACACGCAACGATCGCTTCTCTTATAATTAAGTTTTAATCCAATTTAACCTCCTCCTTGTAGCATATATAAGCGCGTTTTAGGTATTATTCGAAACCATAGGAAAGTTAGGTATTCCTAATGCGACCAAGCGCCAAGTACATACGGGCTACGACTATGTTGCACTCGGATCTTTCGTCGAAAATAGCGCGAAATAGACATAGAGACGAACGTACCATAAAGAGAAAATCTCAATTTCGGTTTTAGTTTATTTTTCTTCGTTCGACAATTTATTGTTTTAGATAAACGATTGATATTCGTCTACAGCTCACCTCGTATACGTTGTTTGCGCGTAGAAACAAATGGTAATATTGAAGTCGAACGGGAGCGCACTGTACCACACGCCTCACTCCACCAGCTCTATCAACCTAATGATGTCGTAGCCTCGTCGGTAGGGGTGACTGCCGACTGGGTGAGGCAGCTCGTGGCTTGCCAACTGCCAAGTGGTTTTTATCCTCGGATCCACGCTCGTAAGGTATATTAATCAACTCGTGGATTAATTTCCTTACAGTTTGTTTCTTGCCGTTCATTATTACATCTGATTGGTACAAGGCTTAATTTTCGTGAAGTAAAGAAAAATATACGTTTCTCCGTTGAAAGAGACCACCGCGCTCACTGCTGACAGTAACTGAGACCTCGTTTTCTGCGGTTACTGGAAAAAACTGTTTACTGCCAACAGTAAATAGACCGCGTTTACTGCACTTCTCGGACACTTGTACGGCCAAATTTCAAGGCCGGTCTGCAAGATTCAGTGAACATAAAATATCTCCCAATCTAATGAACGCTGTTTGATGTAACTCAGCACACGTTTTCAATAAGCCTGAAGGTGATATTAAGGTCGTGACAATTTTTTTGTTTCCTTGTGAAAATCTGACAAAAAAATGTGATACAGATCTATATGACATATGATTGACATGATAGGTTTAATCACTCTTAAATAGCTCTTAAAAAGTAGGGAGGTTAATGGCCATAGAATTCATTAATTTAAATTTTCAGTCGATAAATAATATTACTCTCTAGAAGATGTCGATTGATCAAAATACTGTTTTTAGGAAGTAAGTAATTAACGACGTTTCGAATGCGACAACATTCATTTACAAATTATATAAAGCATTGAATACGGAAATTTTTTGGTGGAAATAAGAATATGATACACGTAAATATGATACAACACGAAGATTTTGAATCGTGAAAATAATTCTGATACATTCTTAAAGCTTAGATAATCCAGTAGTTGTGAGATAGATAGCTGCTGGAGTCCAATGCGTAGAGATGAACGCTTCAGCTATCGTCGGTCATATGATGTCGGGTCACTGCAAGATTTCTTGCAGTGGGTTCCTGATGCTGGTTGGTTCTGAACTCAATGCTGGTGGGTTCTTGAAACACAGCGGGAGTGATAGTCTTGTTGGGTTTGACGTAGTCGTCAAGGATGTCACGAAGCCTGCTGATATCATCGCGGATCTTGAGATAAAGCTGCTCGATTGTAATGCTTTGAAACCTGGTCTGGCTTCGTGCTTGTTTCATGTGGCAGAATAAACGGCTGCTCAATGTCTTAGTTATTACTTTAATGTAGTTAAAATAATGAAGAAGCCTACAGCCTTCTTTGTATCCAAAATTTATAGATTACATCAGATTGTTGGAGAACTCGACCTCTTTTGCCGGGACAGTTGCTGCGTATATTTTGGGGTTTGATATTGTGGTCAAGGGTGTCATATGGAGCCTGTTGAATTCATCAGTGATCTTGAGATGATTTCCTGTGCTGTGGTGAGATTACTTCCGGTGCTGGAGGAACCCGACAGCATCATCTTCATGGAGTGGCCTGACTTCATCCGACCGACGATCAGCTATAGAGGCCCGCATCTGTACGGATTGGACTCCAGCTAACCATCCCACAATTCACAGATTTTCTGAACTTTGAGATTTCGGAGTTATTTTCATGGTTCAAAATTTTGTGATGCATTATATATACGTGTACCATATGTAACTACTTATTACTACCAAAATTTCTGCATTCAATGCTTCCTATAACTTGAAAATGAATGATGTCATATTCGGAACGCCGCTAATAAATTAGAATTACTTCCTATAACCTGCCTTTTGATCAACCATCGTCTTCTAAAGAATTATTCGACCATGAAAATGTAAATTAATGAATTCTACGGTCATTTACTGCCCTAGTATAAACATTTAGATAAAAAAAATTCCTAGGACAGCCATATGCTGCTGAGGATGCATCATATGTTCATGCAATTAGTATTAAATTTCAACATTGTTGACGAATTTGCATGTAAATTACCTCCAACCGAAATAAAAAACATTTAAATTATAAACTTTGTATGTACAAAGATTGGTGTTTACAAAAAATTTCTGAGATCTAGTGGATATATACGTCTCTCATGTGAAAATTCAATCTTCAATTTCCCATTTCATATCAATAATTTCCATTAAAAATTATTCTAGCTGGGGTGTAAATGTGTATTATAGACAATCCCAGTTGAATATTTGTAGAAAATTGTTGTAATAATAATAATAACTTTGATTTTTTTAACCTTCAACTAATGCCTTTCTAAGCCTCTGTTCCACTTATTCCCACTGCGATATCTGGTGAAAGTGCTTTTCAGTAGCAAACACTTCTCTTGTTTTATAGACTACAAAAAGCAAGTTCACTCATATGTACACACACAACTCCCCTCCCACATAAGGTACAAGTCTGAAATTTGGAATAGTATCCTGGCTGATTATTTTCAATTCACAGACATTAAGATATGTAAACTATATGTACTATCAACTTTATCGTCAACGAAAATTTTGACCCATGAGGATCGTAAAACGAGCGACTTTTCTAACGTTTTCGATATACTTGTTGGTTTAATTATTTATTCTTCATTGATCTGTAAACCAAGGATTTCGGAATCATTGATCTAGTATTAGATATAAGTAATTAAAGCCCAAAGTTCAGTAAAAATTCCGCTGATTAAAGCAAGACCTGATTTTTCGTTGTCCTACTCTTGTGTAGGCGCAGCCTCTCCTACGGCAATAAATCTTCTGGGGTTCAAGTACTCAGCCATCTTGTTGTCTTTCAAGTCATCACAGTACTCAAGTTTCCTCTAGTCATAACAATTAATATATTGCAAACAATCACTTCCAATGAACAAACTTGCATCACTAATCTCGATCTGATGTAAGCAAAACCACTGTTACCTTTTTTAACGTCACTAGATTAAAGTTCTACACTCACTATGAAGAACCTTAGTTACACATGCACGCACGTTCCGTAATCATCACTGAATGATACTCTTTAGTCAGTCCCTGAACAAAATTGGACGAAGGTGATCAGGGAATCTGATCACCAATTGGACGAAGGTGATCACCAAAGCGAAGGTGATCAGGGTGAGCTTGGTGAGGAGAGGTGGCGTTCGATTCCTGTAGCCTTTCGTTTCTGGACCACTTCCTAGACTGGTTGCCAGACTGTTTATTGCTCTGAACAGTGAGGAAGTCTTCCCCCCCTAAAAATATAAATGAACAGACTAAATCATTGTCAGAAATGATAGATAACAAATATTTCAGGAAATACAATGAGACTGACTCTATTGTAACATACAAGTTGCGTACTTAGCCGTTTTAACCGGTCTTTTCACAGTGCCCTTGAAACTTCCACTAGTAAATTTAAGTCATGCAATTGATGCTCGGGAATTGAAGTTAAACGTTGTTCTTCTTTGCCCCCAAGGTTCTTTTGAATAATTGAAAACTTTAATTCGTTAATATATGTTCGGTGTACACAGAAATGATGGACGCGGAAGGGAATGAAGTCGAGCGCCTTAGACGATGTTTCCGCCACCACCGCCAACGGATTCCAACTGTCAAATATAAAATAATCGATCGTGAGGTACTAAAAAAATTCCTAACTTGGTTTTTGATATTTAATGAAAGTATGCCACGGACTTGTAATTTGAAAACTCTCATTTAATCATTTCGCTTTAAAGTATCTCTCATACATCCATTTGTTAAAAAAGAGTTGTCAAAGAGTGGAAGTTAGATGGAAATTGCACGACATGTGCAAAACAGTAGACAGTGAAATGTAAACTCACCTGTATGGCGTAGGAGCGCACCACGACGATGAGGTATGACATAATAGCATTCCTGATGAGAAAAACAATGAAGAAGGTCCAATCCTCTTCAAGTACAAATATCGTCACCAAGCCGATTATTAAAATGATGACCAACACGATCTCCACGTAGACCCAAATCTTAATAAGCGTCACTCGTTCCTGCAATTCAGAAGAATGAGTATACGTTCTAGGTGTAGGACTTAAAAGCTTAAGATTTTGACGGGTTGATCACGTTAACCCCATTAGTAACCTTCACTTTAACCCTTTAGTTAACCGTCCAGTTTCTAACCCTTCTGTTAAGCGTCCTCTTTGCTACTGGCTTTACCGCTAGTAGAAAAAATTCCGAACATTGGACTTTTTTGGAACAAAATTCGATCCAGTTCATCGATATGTTCTGTCCTCTGAATTTTAGTTGTTTTAAATATTGAAATTATATTTATGGTAGCGGAATCCTTGGATTTTATTTCCTATACCTGCCAATAATCGTTCTATAGCATGATTTTTTTGTTGAAAAATAATTAAAACTTAATTCACATTTAAAAACGTTATTCATATATTGATGTGAAATCAAAGTTTCAGAGAATTTTTTTTAATCGACTGTACGTCAAGTTGCAAATTTTAGTGATTTATTGATTGAAATCCCAAGAAAGGGATTGTCAAACCTCGGGTATTATCAATCTTGAAAACACCTGTTGAGCTGAAAATAGTTATAAAACGTTATTTTACTTGCCTTTATAACACCAATTATGAGTGTGATGGCGAGCAGGATGCTAATGATGGAAGCTATGATGTTGATCCAAATAATTTCGTCCTCTGTTGAGTAATCAAAAACTTGAATTACAACTGCAATCACAGGTAATATTCCATTGTTAAGATAATTTTATTATTGAAATAGTTTTTATATCTTGTTTGTTTTTGAGAGAATTTAAAACAAAAGGTTTCTAGCGAGTATTCACAATACCTTTCGTGTCGGGATTTTACTGGGATCTAAAATTTCATTTTTTTTTAAGATCAAAAGTGGTATATTTTTTGGTGCTGTAATCATAAGCCATTACAGGACGGCGGCTAGATATAAAACGGAAATTTTTGTTTTAATTTAGTAAATTTCAATTTTGTGAGAAAATCAAGAATCCTTCGAAGTTTTAAACGAGAGTTCAATAGGATGTAAAATGTGGGTGTCAACGAGGCTTATCCTAATCAGCCTTACGGGATTTTAAATCTCCTGGAAAATCAATCTTCTGATTTATGGTCCGTGCTGATTGTTCTTTATATTTCACAAATATTCAACGCGTTGAACTACATAGGCTTCTATTAAATGCTTTATTAGTAATTAAATATTTTGAAGGGTTCAAGTCCGAGTAGATTATTGATCCTCAACCGGTGTTTAAGAAAACTTTTTTACAAGTTCCAAGCAGTTTATTTTTTTTGCAAAAGCATTCATTGTGTTCATGTGTTGTGTATAATGTTGCAATTTTGAAATTCTCTTAATTTTTGTGCGTTATAGATTTGCTCCTTGTAAAATTTGATGAACGAAAGTCAAACCAATCGGTGCGTGAGAATGGATTGGTCATTTGGGCATGAAAAGCGTATGGGGGTGCGTGATTAGGATATAGATAATTGAATTGTTATCTCATTTACTCACTTGTAGCGATCAGGCCATAGATGGCGAAGAGTAGGGCAAGGAGGCCTGTCACCTGTGCACACAAACCATTGATATATGTTAAGATTGCACATACAGACCAGCAGGGAATATTTCTTGCAGTGTTAGGCCTTGAATGTATTGTGAAAACCACTGAGTTGATGATTACAGTAGATAATTGAAATTAGTTGCGCATTTAGTCATCTTTAATCTAAAATAAGCTCAATCAAATTACGGCGTCTTGCCTTATTCAGGTCGTATAAGAACAAAGGTCTAGTCGAGGAAAATCTATGGTCTATGCAAACTAATTTTTGTTTTTAGAGTCAAATTACATTTTTCTCTTGCAGAAATATCGAACGTGCCATTAATTTTATTGCCCATTTTTAGAAATAAATTAGTTGAACAGTGAAGCGTGAAGTCGAAAATTGGATTTCAGGTAATTGTCGCTGCTTACCAAGCAGTAGATGCCAATTCCCAAGGCTCCTGAGCGGAGCGAACAACGACAGCAGCACGGCCAGACCAAGCACTTCTCTGTCATCTCTGAAAGAGAATCAGCGTTTGTGACATAATAATTCAATATAAAAATAACATAATATATTTCAAATATTTGATATAATAATTCAATATCAATAATATAAAATACCTTTAATTTAGTGAATCTGTCACTGTGTTTGAGTCATCGTCGGCAGACCGCATACGGTAACGGTTTTGGTTCGAAAGGAACCTCCAGGTGAACCAACAACGCTACCATCATTCATTTTAAATATAGTATTCGACGGAAACTTTATTTCTTTCTTCTCTTTCAAACTTCTATGTTATTATCATAGGCACGAATTAAGTTGTATTCACCGAAGCGACGCCTGCGTGCAGGCGCGTTATTAAGGCTAATCCATAGCATGGACGGGGGTACGCAGCCGTGCACCACCAAATTTGTGCATCAATCAGCCTTGAAAGGAACGCTAGCATATTTCCGGATTACCACCAATCAGCCGCGGATTAAGCCATGCGTCGGTAACCAGCCCGTGACATCATCTTGCTTTAAAAATGAGGAGCTTTACGCCACCACATTCTGAAGCGAATAGCCCAGAGAATAATAGTTTTCCACCACAGAACGTTGGCATCGAGTCATCACTTCATACCCTGACTTTAGCTCAAACTGTAACTTGCGGACAACGGACTGCGACCAACCAGCCCAGGTCGCCTGTGGAACAGCATGCAGCCTGCTGTGCACGACCAGACGATCACTTTTAGCTCGCAACATCCGGGGTTAGGTTTCAGAAAGCATAGTTCTGTTCCAAAATCTATCGTCCTTCGACGAGCGACTTCCGCAGCTTCGCTAAATTACGTAACTTTTAGCTCACAGCATCTGGGGTTAGGTTTCAGATAGCATAGTTCTATTCCAAAATTTATCGTCGTACGACGCGTGGCCGTTCGACCGTAGGCTGATTCGACACACGGGACAGATACGTACGGACGGCTCCGGCGCGCTCCGTCCGTCGTCGTGTAAAATTTTTTCGCGTATTGGCGGACGATACTGGGCCATTCAACTTCAGGCTACTTTCCTGTGGGCTAATTGGTTTAATTCAATGGGTGTGATCTGTCTGGTGGCGTGCGGCTGATAATGTTACAATCGATATGTGTTGTAGGCTACGTTCTTCAGGGAAGGGATCATAACAGTCTATTCGAAGCACGGCAGTGTTGGTCTCCGACAGGCGTCCCCATGGACGTACTAGCGGCGGAACAGTGATGCCGAGTTGTCAGGCCTTTTCCCATCCAAATTTGCCGACTTTGACTTTTTCCCGGCAAAATTGGCCGGTTTAAACCTTTTTTTGATTGATCTTGCAGGTTAATATGTATTTGGCTCTTAAACGCAATGTAATTTTTGAGGTCTAAATAATTGAAAATTTGAATTTCAATAGTGTTAATTACAAATTTGCGAACATATATTGGGCCGTTTTCGGCCTTTTTTATGAGCTGTTTATGCCCTTATCCCTTGCCACCACATGGCAACCCTGAGCTCAACCAGTTTTGTCGTGTGTAAGGCGGAGCAACATAGAGGCCTAAACCGGCCGCACCAGCATCCTGAACGAAGCCTTTATATGTATATAGCGGTTTCAGCGTTTATTTGGCCGTAGGCCTGTCGCCGATTCTCAACATCGCAGAACATTCACAGCTGGTTGCGGTCTCGAACTCACAATTCACTGCTCCAAATTCTGCTGTGCTTAACCGCCCGTGACCAGAAACTGGTGCAAAGAGTTGGGATCGAACCCGCGTGCCTCTCTGCGCCAATCTTGGTACTCCTGTTACCACTGGGCCTCTCTGGTTACCGCAGCACGAATGCATTACGTAAGTTTCAACATTTACGGTTTGCAGCCAGAATAATGTCTCCATATGGACAAAGTCACATTCCGAGGGACATTACGTGACTGCTCTGCCCTCTTTTTCAGCTCCAAGCTGTTACCCTTTGCTTAGCGTAAAATATATAGTGAATATCCTTAATTTTTTTAGAGACTGGCTTGTAATCAATGGTGGGAAGCGACAGCCTCGATGATTTGTGAAACAAATGAATATTTGTCAAACGAACAAAGACATGCTATCAATTATTACATTCTAGGAATCTTTAAATAAAGTCTGGCCCAAATTGGCCTGACGGTCGGGTTGTTAATAAAAATCGGGTGCAGGACAGCGTGGCCTTATTAAATCCATATTATTGTTATTATAATCGAGCGCTGCCCGTTTGAACAGACTCTTCTTCACAAGAGCCAAGTTTTCAAGCAGGAAATTGAAAATCCTTCATAGATACAGACAGACTTAATCAAAGATCACTTCATTAACGATTCCCTGAGCTCAGAGTGCAATTCAATAACTGAGTATTTGGCGGTGAAGATCATCACAAACCCGTTGATTTTGTTCGTGTTTGTCCTAAAAATCAGTCATCACTTTAAAATTAGTCATCAGCCAAAAATCAGTCATCACCTATATAAGTCATCACCTATCACCTATATCAGTCATCAGTCATCTTTCATATTTGTGCACGTTTCTTGATGATCTGAAGGCCCGCCATAACAACCTTTCACCATGGAGTGTAGTTCAGTTGAGCGATTTTAAGAACAAATGGTCAGGTTTTTTATTGATTCCTTCTCTGTTATCACCGCACCTACACACGTCGCTCACGCCACGGGAGCAATCCCGAAACGTCGGATTGTCCAGGAGGATGTTCGAACGAGTGTCTGAAGCATTAAGCGATGTTTCTAAGTAGTGATTCTGACAGTGATGACAGTTCTCATGAAATTTCGTTGAAGAGGAGAGTACTTCGACGCACTCGTCGAGGTGTCCCTAATCCAGACTGTGGTCGGTGGCAGCATATTCTTGAGAAACTTGATAGTCGGAAGGCCCTCAAACTCCAGAAATTCAACGAAGCCTCGATCAGGTCAGCCACCTTTAGAAATACTTTAAACAGTTTGAGGTTTACTGCGCAGAGAACAACAGAGGTAGTAAGGATTTTTGGATTGGCGAACTTGAAACTCATCCACAGGATAAGACTTTGAAAGCCTTCAGATCATTGCGTGACGTGCAGGATCCGTACGATGACATAAAACAGAAGCTGTGTGAGTGGTGGAAGGATATGGAAGAACAGCCCAGAGAAAGATGGAAAGTAGCATTCAAGAAAGCCTATTTAGAACCCGCTGAGAGTATGTTTTTGTATAATAGCCGCATAGAACGTTTGTATCGGCGAGCTTATACGAAACGGAACATCGCTTTGAGTTGAGGTTTGAGGGAGAAATTTCGTGATTTGGTTCCCATCCGTAAGCAGCAATGATGCAGAAGTGCGCCCGACATTTTGAGCTCGAGCTCAAGAAAGGCGAACAGAGTGAAGATGACATAACGACGAAGAGCATGCAAGTCAACGTCGCTCAGAAGAGGACGAAGGACGTCATGGTACAGCACGTTCCCCAGAACACATCGCCAGAGCGCTCGCAGCAATATCTCCAGAAGCCATCATTTTACCCGATGCCTCGTGCCACCAAGTCACCCGAGTCCGATCGCCCCTGAACCATAGTACGCTCACGTGAACCGGCCGAACCTTGGAACCTCCGGCACATGCAATTACTGTGAACGTGTTGGACACGTGAGTCTCGATTGTCGTTTGCGTCTGCGACTGTGCTTTGGGTATGGAGGCAACGATCATGTTGTCAGAAACTGCCCTCATCGGCGAGAAGTTCAGCAGCACCGAAGAACGCCGCGATCTGCCTCACAACCACCTCAGATGGGAACCTGTCAACCTGATTAGTTAAACAGAAGAAACAGTGTCTCCAATCACAACGTCGAGAGTAGACCGTTAAACCAACGGGCTCCAGCTTAGTAGAGGTTAAGTTGGAGCCGACGGAAGTGAAAGCCTCAACAAATCCCAATATAACGATTCACAACAGATACGAATCGCCCATTGACGAAGCAAAAGACGAATCGGAGTAAGATTGAGAGCAACAGAAGTGTCTCAGAACCACAAACGTGAAGTAAGCGGGACAACTGACACCGCTTTCAGTCGAGATCCTCCATCTGTAAGGTTGATATGTGATGAAGAGACTCCCAACCCACTTGTCTACTTTGCTGCTCTGCAACCGGCAATGCTGAATATCATTCCACTGAAGATCAACGGACACGAGATGACTCTACTCGACAGCGGATCAATCAGATGACTGATCAATCAATCAGATGACTGATTTTTATTTAGATTATTACGGGCATGTTAAAACGGCCCTATACCGGAATGTGACAGTTTCTTGCGTTGCAGACGTTAGGGGGTTACTAGAGATGTTGTGTGCCGATTAATGTAAATTTCACTTTTTATGAACTTCCTGCCTGTAATTGTGAATTTTTATTCGAACTAGACCTAGGAATGATATTGTATGAATTGACGGAATCGGATCGCTAGAGAATAAGGATGCAACAGTCGTTCGTTGCTTGCATATCGGTAGCAAAATAGTTAGGAAAGGAACCACGTCAGGTAAGTTACAACCATGTTAGAACTTGACACTAGTGCTGAAGGAGATTTTCAATGGTCACGGGAAATGTTCAATCAAAATGTAGAACTAGGAGATGGATTAGCAGCTCATGAGTGTGATGAGTTATTTGACGTTCTATTGCGTGCACAGGAAGCTTTGAGCGACAGCGATAGAGATGTTAGCAAAGCGAATGTAGCACCGCACGTTATTGAGCTTAATGATGAGACTCCAATTTGGCAGAAACCCCGCATCACTTCAGCACCTGTGAAATAAGAAATCAACAGTAAATGTAGAAAATTTTTATCCTGGAATATTATAGAATATAGCAACTCAGAGTGGTCTTCTCCTGTAGTCCAGTAGAAAGAAAGATGGCCAACTTAGAATGTGTATCGATTACCGTGCATTGAATAAGGTTACCCGAACAGAGAAATTTCCGATGCCCAGTTTGAGATACTGATATACGTATCGCATATCAGTTTACCAGCCGTGAATATTTATTATATACGATACCTACTATATATTTT